ATAACGTGAATAAAAATTTATTGAATTTAATGACAATATAAAAGATAGCAGTTTTTTTGGACCTTTTTTTGTAGATAACGAAAAGTAGTTTTACAGGAAGGTGAAGCGAAGGATTTAAATCTTGCTGGCATGGCAATAGGTAATGGTGAATTGAGTATGTATGAACAGCTTAACTCAATCCTTCCCTTACTTTATTATAGAGGAACTTACGGCTATGAGTATGTATTTCAGTTTTTCATATATGTTTTTATTACTGTAACGATTTAAAGGAGATTTGAAAGTGAAGATGAGCGATAATGAGCAATCAGAATATTCTGCTTCCTCTAGAAAAATGCGAGATTTGAAAGAATATCAAAGTTATAAGATTTAGCGAATATTTCATTAACTCAAAATATTTTGCTTGATGCTATCTTGCAATCACTGTTTATCATTCCAATCACTTTTATCATTTTAATCGTTTCAGTTTAAGAATTTTACTCCAACGCTCTCATTTGATGCACATTTACTTTGCTGACGTTTTATCCAAATGTGACAGTTACTTTTAAGTTTACTTACTTTTGACTGCATTGATTAAATAAGTTAAAATTTGCAGTTTATATCAAAATATCACGAAATGCAGCACAGATGATAGCATTCCAGCAGCTTATTACGACTATTCATCTCGTGTAAACATTGTTAATGTAGGCGAGGCATATCCTAAGGATAATACAAGTTACTGTGATAATTTGATGGTTGAGTACGGAGTGGAGTACATTTGGATGCACAGTCTATTGTAATTTATAATAAGCTTATTTTTTATAACAATTTTGGTTTAGCTCAAAATGAAACAGAGCATTTTTCAAAATTTATCAAAAACATTTGATGAATTTTTACGGAAAATAAGAATTAGACTTAGCAAATGATTTTAAAAAATCAAACCAACTATCAATTATGGGTGATAAATTTAAATTTGATAACAAAATTGCTATATGATTTAAAAATAACGCACAATTAATTTGAGCAACAGCGAATTCTTGCGGTTGCACTGATTATGATTAAAAATCTACTTTATTAAGTAAAGTAAATAAAGTAATGGTTAAAAATCTAAAATTTTAAAAACCAATCACTAGTCTCATAAGGTACTTTCAGCCAAGACGTGTACAATATCAACCAAGATTGTTACCGTTACCAATTATATTACACAGCAGCTGGATCTAGAATAGCGCAATTAAGACGGAAATTAGATCATAAGAAGCCAAATATTCAACTTCCAATGTCATATTATAAAAACCAAAAGGTCACTTGTGTTTTTATTTACTTGTAATTAAATTTTGTAATTGTAAGAGCAGGTACTTTCAGTTAACTTTTGCAAACAGTAATATCATACTGTAAATGTTAGTTATTTATTTTATATAGCCAAGTCCGTTTGCAAAATAAAAAGTTTATGAAAATTAGCACTATTGATTAGTTACAAAAAATATAAGCTATCACATAAATTATATTTTTTATTTGTGAATTAGTAGTATCAAAACACCAAATTAACTGTAATTTTGCAGCAATCAATATTCATATTTTGTAATAGCGCAGATATTTTATAACCAATCAATAATTCTAATTTTTACAATGGTGTAAAGATTCATTTTTATGCTTTATTAAAGTTTTTTAAAGGCGAAAATCAATTATGATTCGACAGATGGAAAGGCAAGTTTCTATTGTTTTGCTGCAGAAGCTAATGCAAATTATCTGCAACGTTCAGATGTGCGAAGTGCAATTCATATTCCATCTCACGTACATCCGTGGACTGATTGCAAGTTAGCTTTTACTATTTTTCATAAAATTCACAATAGCTTGCTCTAATGAGCTTAAACATTTTTGTATTTTAATTACGTAACAAAAACTTGCATCTTATAATAACTTCTATTTTTGTATCAGTTTTATTTAAAATATAAATTGCAACAGTTCTTCGCTTTTAGTAAGAATAGTTCATAATTAATCTATATAGATTTTGAAATGTTGAAAATGAGTAAAGTTGCATAAAAAATGATAATATTTGTTAATTGGGATGAAAATTTTGTCTTAATTTCAGTTATGACATAAATATTCATTATGTAGTACAACACATTCAGATGAGATCTGTTTTTGAGCATATCTTGCAATCAAAGTATCCTTTTCAAATTCTCATCTACAATGGTGACACTGATTTGGCTTGTGAATTTCTTGCGGGTTATTATTCATATATGAATTTTATTTAATTTTTTAAATTTATTGCAAGCTGGTTGGCATTCAAATTTTAAAAATAGATACAGATTTTCGAATGCTGTACTTATGCAATTAGTACAAATATAATTGCGGTTGTTGTGATTGTTCTGATTGTTCGAAATGCAAAATCAAATAAAAAAGCTGTAATTAAATTTGAAATAGTATTTCTGGATATTAATTAATGCTCAAACTGAAATTAAAATACGTTTAGATGAATGGTTTGTTGAAAAATTAGCGGAGTCGCATAAGATGAGGGTTGAACAGCCTAGAACCCCGTGGTATTATCAGTCTCAAGTAGCTGGTTACTGGAAACGTTTCACGTATTCTACCACTGCTATCGATTTACTTACTGTAAAGGTTAGATTTAAAGGAGAATTCTATCGAATGTAGTTTCTTTTGTCATGTTATTCAATATTATTTGAATAAAAAATTAGCAGCAACTGCTATTATATTTATATTATTTTTAATTTAGACACTGTTTATAATAATTTGCAAGGACAAAAGTAATTTGCACATTGTAATTGTTTATTTATCGAAAAAAATTCTAGTATCTAGTGAATTGTTTCCAGGGTGCTGGTCATTTTGTGCCTTTAGATCGACCTGGTCCATCACTACAAATGATTATGAATTTTATGAACAGAAGTGATTATTCTACACCATATGGATATGATACAAAGTTAACGCCATTGCGAGAGCAGTACAAAATTTTACAAAAAGTAGTTGTCTATTTTCTAAAAAATCTTCAAAAGAATTGTTTATGTACAAAAATCAATTTGTTCCTTCTGAATGTAAAAGTATTTGTCAGAGTATTCCATTTAGATTATTGTTGAGTATTCCGATGGGATCGAGCAAATATCTACCAAAAAGGCAAAAAATGTAATTCATAAAAGAGATACTTCTTCAAGCGATTATTTGCTGCACGGATTTATAGAGAATTTGCCATTTATCACATTCATCCCTGATTTTGAGCAATGGGCTGGATACTTTACTATTGACGATCTTTCCATTTTCTTTTGGTAAACGATGATTTAGTTGACATTTAAGCTTGCGCACAAAAGTAGTAAAACATTTATGAAGTTGCGATCATCAAATTTTCGCCTTGTATATATTGTAAACTAATATCAGTACAGTGATGAGTTAAAACAGTTTTCAAATGGATTAGTGTAGCCGATTCTCTAAAAAAATACTCTCTCACAGTGGACGATTTTAGTACTAGGCTAAAAGTTTAAGGTTTGTGGGGGCACGTAAGCATCAGCAAAAAGCAGCTTCGGATGAGGCAGTGGTTGTTTGGTTGGGCGATGGGCCTGGCTGTAGTCCAGTCGCTGACCTTTTTCAGGATTTTGGTCCTTATAGACTCAAAGTTAACACGGATGGCACCATCAGTTTAAACCAGAATCCTTTTTCGTGGAATCAGGTCTTATTATCATTATTCATTTGTACTTGCAGAGTTTCTGTAGCTATGTATTTCTGTCGTCTATCACAATAATTTTTGTTTAGGCTGGTAATTTTCTGTTTATTGAAACTCCTCAAGGAGTGGGCTATTCAAAATATAAAGAGAACGAACTAAACGATGTTGAGGTAAGATTTGAACTTGTAATTGTAATTATGATTTACTTCATAAACTTCACAAACTTACTGAATTTCAAATAAGCATTTGTGTTTCATTTCAAATAATTCGTCCAAATTCGTTTTCAGACAACAAAAATAAATCTAAAAGTATTGAAGAAATTTTATGAAAACTTCAAAAACTATTCAAACAATCCACTATTTATTGGAGGAAAGGGTTACGGAAGTGTATTAGCGTTGAAACTGACTGAAGCCGTACTTGAGGTTGTTGTTTCGATGTTTCTCTTCTTTCTCGTATATTTTCACTTCAATTCAGTCTTACAATGAAATTTTTGCAAAAATTTGAAAAACGTTTTAAGCCAAAAATGCTTTAGCTAAGAATGTTTCAGCTTCGTTTTAATTAATGAAACAATGAGCGAGCTATCTTTATGGAATTTTTGATTATAAAACTCATTTTTATAATTTAAATTTTGAATTACTGCAAAATTTTTACTCTCAAAACAGTACAGGAAAAATCAAGCATACCAAAGCCATCTGGAGTTTTACTGCAAAATGCAATGCTAAGCCGAAAGGAGCAGATCAATTCACTACCCAATTTGTTGTATTTTTCGGGGGAAATCGGAAAAGAGTTAGAATTTGTTATTTGCACATAAAATTTTAAGTGAGTAAATTTTAGACGTGAATGATGACTTTCTGTAGATTTAAAGTGTTCAGATACGATTTGAAAATTGAAATATGAAATTTCAGCATTTTCTTCAAAGTAATGACTGTATAATTTATCAATTCGAGAACAGTGCATTGTAAAATAAACTAATAACTTTATAGAGAATGGGATAAACTGATATCTTGTTGTATGAATGGTGGCAAATATGACAATAATTGTGATCTCAGCAAATATGTTACCATTAATGAGCATGGAAAAATCAGTAGCAACGGATCTGTGTGTGGTGACAAAGTTAAATATCTCGCTGACACAGTTCCGAATAAGATAATGCAAGTTTATTATGTTTTGATCGTAACTGTTTACAGTACAAGAATAGCTTGACTACATGAAGAATTCAGTAGTAAAAGCAAGTTAACATTTTCTTCAATCACTTTATCACTTTTTCCTTTCAATATTTAAATTAATTTTTATGTAAAATTTTAGAAGTATGACTGAAGCGGATAATTTTTATGAAAACTGCTACTACATGGCGTCAATGGATGTTCACAAACGTAAAAAACGACAAGCGTATCACTTCGGTGACATACCGCTAGTCAACGATGAGACATTCATTGATCAAGCCGTAATTTAATAATCATTAATCGTTTAATTAATGTGATAAACTAGCCTAATTCGAGTTTAATTATTTACTATTTTTTTTAAACTGCAAATTTATGGATTATATATATTAGATGATTTGTAAACTTGGAACTTAACCAGTCAACACATATCTTTACAACTAGCAGAATTTTTTGCGTAAGTTGATAGTTATACTAATATTTTACTTTCTCCTCGCAACTAATGTATTCATGAACTACTTTAAACATGATTGTAAGCAGTAAATAAATTACTGATAAGCATAAATTTTTGTCACTTTTTTGCCTTTTTTAGATTTTTCACTTTTTTAAACCTTTTTTCCGTCCTTTGGATTATTATTTTCCTTCTGATTAGCACTACTTTTAACGATTCTTCAATTCTCTTCAACTTTATTCACGCACGCTGATTCAAATTACACTTCTAGTCTACTCTCTCTAAAGCTAACAACAGCCATAAATTTATTTGTTTTGTAATCCCAAGTCGACTTTTTCAGCAATTAATAAATTATATGTCGACGGATGCGTTTGCTTCTTATCCGTGCTACATGAATGAAATAACTGAAGCATATCTAAGTAAGAGTGAAGTGAAAAATGCTTTGAATGTACAGTATCCAGGAAGATGGGTGAAATGCAAGTTAGTTTTTAAATATAATTGATTGAGAGGATTAATTCTCAAATAAATTTGAATAAAAGTATTCATTTCGTTACTTTTACGCATTCTTTCAACTTTAAATTTTAAGAACTTCCAAGTTTTTAAAAAATCATTGAAATTTGTTAAATTTTTATTAGAATATCATGTTACATTAATTTGTTTTTTAGCATAAAAGTTCACGAAACTTACATTCAACAGTATTTGGATATGACTGATACTTTCCGAAAGTTACTGTCATATCCGTTAAGATTTCTTGTTTATTCGGGCAATGCTGGCCTTAGCAACAACTTCATAGCAAGTAAATTCTTCAATTTCATTAAAAAATTTTTGAATTTTTCTTTCTTCATAATTTTAAAAAATCACTTTTTGAAAAGACTTCATGAAAATTTATGAATCCATAATAATTGTTTAGTATTTCTGAAGTTAAAAAGAAACTCCCAGTGATTAAACTTCAATTACGTATTATTGTCTGGATATACCAAAGATTTAATGTTTAGATCAGTGGTTTGTTGAGAAGTTATCGGTTGGTTTTAAAAAATCACCTCACCTGCTTTGGAAGTTTGCTCAATCACATGATTATTTGACGCAGTACGCGGGTTATCAAGATTTATATGCCAAAGAAAACGTCAAGATTGATCTTATCACTGTTAAGGTTCCGAAATTACGATAATAAACAAATTAAATAAATGCTTATTTTATAAATATATGAATTTTTTTACAAAAAATAATATATGCAAATAACGCATAAAGCGAAAGGTTGAATTAATTTAATATGTATGATTATACGAGAAAATTCAATGGACTTTCTAAATCAGAAATAAGAAAATTAAATTTGAATCATCAGTTCATCAGAGTACTTCTGAATGTTGAATTTTCATCTGATTGTTTGGTTTACATGTAACATTTATATCTACTGTCTACATGTTATATATAATGCTGTGAAAAAATTTGAGTAAATTATTTCTGCTTCCAGTTGTCTAATAAATTCTGCACATTTTATTCATTACATCTTCTGTGATAGCACTTTGTTAATTAAAAGTTGATTCTAGGGAGCTGGTCATGATGTAGCATTGGATAGGCCACTGCCAACTCTACAGATGTTCATTAATTATTTACAGAATGAAGCTTATGGAACTATGATTACTTACTTACCTGAGCAACCACCAATTTCCCCACCAACTCCACCACCTAAAAGTTAGTCTAATTTGCATATCATATTTATTTTGACTCATATAAGTAATAAACATTTGCTTTTCTAATGCAAATAATTTACAGTAAGTCGACGAGAAGCTGCAAAAATTTACGATTTACCTGGTTTAACGTTTGAAATTAACTTTGACCAATATTCTGGTTACCTAAATGCGTCCCTCGGAAACTACCTTTTCTTCTGGTATCATTTTCTTTGCAGTTTTTTACTTGAAAACACTGACTTCGTGTACAAAATTGGAGATATTTAAGCAAGAATTTGAAGTGGAAGACAGTGAATCTGTGCATCTTTTTCTTACAATTAAATGACTTTATATGAGTTAATTTTTGCTAAGCTTCTGTTCCGAAAATTAAATTCTCCACCAACTACATGCATTTTTATAGCATTTCGATCTGTGCGAAGGAAATGTAAGTACAAATAGTACAATTTTTACATATATATCATTTAT